GCTCTTTTCCTTTATTCCTCAAAACTAATTTTTTAAAAGTGAGGCATAGAAAAGGGAAAAGATTATCCTTAAAGTGGGCATGCATCTAGTGGCAGATCTGGGACACTGGTATGGCCTAGGACTGAATCCTGAATGGCTATTTTGGCGCCTTTCCCCCAACTCCCAATATTATAGTTGGTATTGGAACAGGAAACTTTTTTTCCCCACATAACTTTGTCATCTAATTTTAATTGCTTTGATTTTGCTTGGAAAGAGCTTTTCAATTTTATGCAATGAAAATTGTACATTTTACCTTCCCTTATCTTCTCTGTCCTTTGTCTGGTCATGAATTCTTCCCCTATCCATGGTTATAAAAGGTATTTTCTTCCTTGTTCCTCTGTATATGTAGGGCTATATCCATTTGAAACTTATTATGGCATATGTAATCATATCTTTATCTAAACCTGATTTTGGGGAGAATGTTTTCCAGTTTTCCTAGCAGTTTTTATCATACAATGAATGTTAGGTATTATTTATTATCTCCATTTTATGAATAAGGAAACAATTCCAGAGGCAGAGTTGAGGAAGGAGAGTATTTCAGGTAGGGGACAGCTAGAGAAAATGCCCAAATTGGAGAGAGAGTATCTTGTTTGTGGAACAGCCAAGAGGCCAGTGTCATTGGATTGAAGAGTATGTGGCTGGGAGTCAGGTTTCAGAAGACTGAAAGGCAAAAGGGTTATGAAGAGCTTTGGACACCAAACAGAGCATTTCATATTTGATCCTGGATATGATAGGGAACCACTAGAGTTTATTGACTATGGGGGTGACATGGTTGTACCTGCGTTGATGTCTGAGTAAAGGGTGGACTGGAGTAGGGAGAGACTTGTGGCAGGCAGACCAGCATATTATAGTAATAGACTGGAAGCAAAAAGACGGACAATAAAGAGGGTGTCAAATAGTCTCACATGAGAATAGATGAACATCTGAAGAAAGAATGGATGGGAATGATAATATAGGATTGACAAGTCTTGTTGAGGCTGCTTTTGTATTTCATCCATCTGTTCTCTCCACTCACAGTCACCACCCTACTTAGGTCTCTCATCTCCTCTGGACTATTGTTGGTAGCCTTCTAATTAGTTTCTCCCCTTTTCCTGTCTCATCTTCCATATAAATGCCAAAGTAACCTTCCTAATTTACCGTGTCATTCCTCTACTTAAAAATCTTCAGTGATTCCCTATTGCCTTTAGAGTAAAATACAATTTCCTTAGTCTGACATTAAGTCCCTGCATTATCTGACTTCATGTATCTTTTCAATCTTATGCCATGGTATTGCCCTTCCCAAATTCTATGTTCCAGCCAATTTGTACTGCTAGCTATTTCCTGAACTCAGTATTTTACCTTATTCTGTCATTTCACAGAAACATTTCTAATACTCAGAATCCTTATGTTCCTTTAAGACCCAACTTAGAACCACAAGGATCCTTCCAGCTTTCTAAATCTTTGATCACATTACCAAGGGTTAACTCCTCTGAGAAGCCTTTCTTGATGCCCTTATTTGTTAGTGCCCTCTTCCTCCTTAGTTTATTTGTACTACATTTATTTATATACATATTACCCCTTCCTTCTCCACAATAGAATGTAAGCTTCTGTAGGGCAGAGATTGTCTTGTTTTTGCCTTTTGTATCCTCACAACTTAGCATAGTACCTTATGCCTAATATGTGTTTAGTAGTTTGAATTGACAGAACGTGGCAGCAGGTTGGATATGGAGATTAATTGCCAGATCTGATGTTTTTTCTCTGTTCTCATCCTTCTTGACCTGTCTTCTACATTTAACACTGTTGACTTTCTTCTTGTATATTCTGTCCTCTGTGGATTTTTATGTCACTCTTCTCTCCTCGTTGTTCCTCCACCTGTCTAGCCATTACTACTCTGTCTTCTTTGCTGGTTTTTTACCATTTATGCCAAACTGTGAGTATTTCCCAAGACTTCATCCTGGTTTCCCTTCTTTTCTGTTCTCTAGAAAGTATAGACCCTCCCTCAGTGACTTACTTCATCAGTCCTTTATCTCTATTTGAATCATTCAGTGATCTGTATATCCAGTCATATTCTGTGTTCTAAGCTCCAATATTGCGTCACAACTTCCTGTTAGACATTTCAAACTGGATTCCTTTGAGACATCTCAAACTTAATATGTCCAAAACACAACTCCTATTTTTTCCAAAAACCACCCCTTTTTCAAATTTTCCAATTTCTGTTGAAGGCACCATTTTCCTTCCGGTCACCTGGATTTGTCACCTCGTTGTTACCCTCAACTCCTTGCTTTTTACCCCATATATCCATTTCTACCTCCATATTTTCCAGTTGACCACTATGTAAAAACATAAGCAAACACAAAGTAATTTTGTTGGGCAGAAAGTGGGGTGGAATGATCAGGAATGCTTCATGTGAGAGGTGGGTGACACAAGCTGAACCGTAAAAGAGGCATAAAGGGTGTGTCTAAGTGCATAGTGAATTTAACACTCAAATTTAGAGGAGTCTTTAGCAGATTTTTAGCAGAAGCTTCTCAACTATTACATTTTAATGGTTCCTCCTAGTCTCTTTTCACACATCTTTAAAGGTCTATAGTTTTGGATTGTATATATAAGTTAATTCACAAAGTTCTTTATTAAAAACAATTCATACTAAATCATGTACAGTGTATAACAATGTACAAATGTACAAATAGGTAGAGTCTATTTTGTAGCAGTTGATGGATTGTATTTATAGTGTGAGTATAAAATAATATCAGGGGTGTGATTTATCCCCCCTCAGAACTATTAAGTGAAGGGGATTTATTTTTATTTTTATAGCTTACCATTAAAGTAATGTTCTTTATTTGTTTAGAGCCTTGCACAGCAGAACATCTTGCCAACAGGGCTAAAGGGAGAATATCTGTTAAACCTGTCATTGACAATGTTTTGGTACACAGCTTTTTGCTAAGCTAGTTGATCTGCTGTATTTGAGAATGTGGCTATGCTTCTTAGACCAGACTTTCCTATAGTTTGAGGGTTTGGGGGTTTTTTTATGTCAAATTCAGTAGTTCTTCACAAAAATGTCATTGGTAGATATGAAGTGGGTCTAAATAAAAATAGGGGAAAAAATTCTAAATGATTTCCTCTCAAACATAGCTATTCCCTCTAGATTTTATATATTTTTTGTCAATGGAAGAATGAATGTTGGGATTTTGGAGTGGTTTGTTGTGTGTGTGTGTGTGTGTGTGTGTGTGTTTTTAATGAATGAATAATGAATGAAAAAGCATTTATTAAGTACTTATGTTCCAAACACTTCTAAGTGACTGGGATAGCAATACAAAAGTGAAAAAAAAATAGTTCCTACCCTAGAGGAGCTTGCTTGAGAGATACTAGTTATAGGGGAATGGTGGCCATGGAGCATGTTTTACTTTTTTTTTTTTGAAAGTTACCGAGTGGTTCTGTGGAGCCTTAGGAAGTAGTTTGTATGTTCTTGATAATTGTTTGCTACCTATCCAAATGTATGTATTTATATTTACTCATTTTGATTTCAAAGGAATGTACTTTCTCAGTTTTAATCCTGCTGAGGCTTTCTACCAATCCTTATCTTCTCTAAGATTTAACCCTCTTAATTGGTCTGCTTGCTTTCATTTTCTCCCTTCTTCAAGTCATCTTCCATACAAAGGCCACCTTCCAAAGGTCTGTAAAATGAAGGAGATCATAAGTCATGATTTTTGAGATAGAAGAGACCTTAGAAATTATCTAGTCCAAACCTCTTATTTTCCAGATGATGATATAGAGGGCCAACAACATTAAAGGGATTTGTTCCAAGGTCACACAGGTGGTAAGGAGGAAAGCCAGGATTAGTACTTAGACACCAGATCTAGTCGTCTTCACACACTGCTCCTTCATCACTCTTGAACTCCGCTTTACTTTTCAATTTTCCCTCTTTCTCAAATCTACTGTTCCTTCCATTGGTCCTCCTCCTGATACTCAAACTCACAATCTTTCTTATTTTCCCAATACCCCAAACCAATTAGAGCGTTTCCCCCTTGTGAGATCTCAACCCTACTCAGTGTCTACTGACTACTTTTTGAATCTAGCCTCATGTTCGTTTTTTATACTAGATGATCTAATATCTCTTGTAGGTCTAAATCACATGATCCTATGGGATAACCCTTTTAAAATGAGGTAGGGGAAAGAAAATATTTCTGTGCTCAAGTGGACAGTTTGACTACATGGGAACCAGAGCTATAACTAGAGGAGAATGATCAGGGCATTGTCTCAGGCCACTGATATTTTGTAAGAGCCAGAGTACTTATACTACTTCAGCAATGTAGAGACTGTGCTTAGCCCCTAACTTACACAGATCATTTAAACAGGAAGCTAGCAGATGGCCTGTGTCCCTGCCTCTTCTTCCCTCAATTCTAGTTCCAGCTCTGGGCAAGCAGCCTTATTGTGGGTCTCAACATCTCTGTCTTTCTCCTCCATGGCTGTCTCAGTTCCCCCTTCTTCTTGTGTAGGACTCCAGGTGTGACTTTTCCCTGAAACTGAATTTATCTTCAAAACTTGATCTGAGAAAATGTTTCTTTCTGCTTGCCCAGGTCACCAGTTTATAGTTACAGCTCTTTTGTATATACTTTGTCTCTGTAGCTACTGACTTATTAAATGTAGCCTGTATGAATTTTATTTGTTAATTTTTTAAAAATTCTTAAATAAAACTTACTTTAACTGTAGTTTTTATAAGTGAAAAAGTAATGAGCTTTTCTTCCAGAGAGTGCAAAGCAGTCTTTCTTTCATTGAGATCCAAAATACTAACATTTGCTGCACACTTTTTTCTGGAAGGAAACTTCAGGATATGGCAACTTCTTGGTAAGGAAATAACTATTAATATCCTCTTAAAGTCTAAGAGTAAGACATTGCCACTTCATATTTATATTATTTGATTTTGTTTCATGGTAACTGATAATAATTTATTACCTTTCGTATTTCTCTCCCTCTCATCCCACTAGTCAGAAGATGGGTAAGAAGAGCCGAGTGAAAACTCAGAAATCGGGCACTGGCGCTACAGCAACAGTGTCACCAAAGGAAATGCTGAACCTAATTAGTGAGCTCTTGCAGAGTAAGTTTATTTTCCAAATGTCAGTAAATCTTTTTCTTTAAGTAGGGTATTTGAATTTTTACTGCTTTCATCCTGACTTGCAAAGTACTGTTTGATTTTCTTTTTTTTTAGTAACTAATAAGAAATGTAGCTGTGACCAGCTTTACAATATTTATGTGAGTTAGACATTTTATGGACTTGCCCACGACAAATTCTTATTCCCAACTTCGTTCTCCATGCATTTTATTTCTAGTATACACCCTGCTTCCCTGTTCCTTCCACCCCATATTCCACTTTCTTTATCTGTCCTTTGGCGTGTGCCACAGTTTGAGCAAATTCATTTTAATGTTGTCCTAAGTAAAATGTAATGAGGAAGGTAAATTTGTTGCTCAGAAGATCCGGTGCCTTCTAATGCTTAAGAAAAGTAATTTTTGGAAAACAGCAACAATTAACAATTGAGAGTTTGCTACATGTGAACTTGATAGATAATGCTTTGTAATAAACACAAAGGAAATGTTTGTGATTTTGGGGTGGCTATTCAGATATAAAAGAGACAGTATAATATACGTACTGGATAGAGATCCAGCCTCAGTACCAGGAATACCTAGGTTCCAGTCCTGTGTCTGGCATACACTACCTCTGTGACCTGGACAAGTCACTTAACCCCTCACTGTTCTAGGCAGCTCTTTATGGCTGTAAGTTACAGTGATGGTGCTAACCTGTATTGGGAGTGGGGGATTTCTGTGCCCTGAAATTCCCTATATGGTGAAATCACAAGTCTAGTCCCTATCTCTGTTCAGATACCAAGACCTGGGCATAGGTGAAGAGAGGGGAGAAAAAAGGCTAAATATATGAAAGGTGGTCAAAGAATGGACTTTGTGTAGAAGAAGAAAACTTAAAATTAACACCCCAGTACCAACCCTCCAGCCCTGATGCACATCTGACTCTTCTCTGTGGGGAAAACCACCTGTCATATTATTTTCCTTCAGAATTAATATGTTTCTAAAAGTACTGTACTTCATACCCTGGGAGATTGTTTATTTTGACCACAATATCTTAAAAAAATTCTTTCTTCAAAAAGTGAATTTCATTAAGAGTAGGAAACTTTTTATTGCCTTTGTTTTGTTTTTAATTTTCAGAGTGCAGCAGCCCAACGCCTGGCCCTGGAAAAGAATGGGAAGAATATGTGCAGATTCGGGCTCTAGTTGAGAAAATCCGAAAAAAGCAAAAAGGTAAAAGTTGAGAATGTTACAGTGCTCTCCTGGAAATAATATAGTAGCATATTATTTAAGGTTGTTAGAATGAATTGTACTAAAATATTAATGGAAATTTTGAGGACTCTCTTGCTGCATTTAAAAAGATGGATGTGATGGGGCAAAGCCAAAATGGCAGAGTAAAGGTAGGTATTTGCCTGGGCTCTCCCAAATTCCCTTTGAAACAACTGGAAAATAACACCTCAAAATGAATTCTGGAGTGGCAAAACCAACAAAAGGAGCAGGTGAAACAACTTTTTAGCCTGAAACAATTTAGAAGACTGGCAAGAAAGACCTGCCTCATTAGGGTAAGAGTGGAGCACAGGCCATGCCCAGCAAGCATTGGACAGTGACTGAATCAGCATCAGCAGCTTCCAGAACTCTCAGCCCAGCCCACAGATGGTTAAGGGGGTTGGACAACTGGAGGGAGGGAGATTGCAGGGGACCCTTTGCTGTCACTGGGTGCAGGACTCTTGCATTGTCCACATGTGGTTCTGGGTCACAGTCTCAGGTAGAAGAAGACCACTAGTGTACTAGAATGTGAGGCTGAAGGAAAAGGGGGACGGGACCTCTGTCACTACCTAGCTTGCTTGTGGTTGCTCACAGACCAGAGCATAGGCCAGGAGAGCAGTGACCACACCTCTCCTTACATCATACCATCTTGAAGAACTGAAAACTTGTAGATCCTCAGAACTAGCTCTGAAAACAACAGCACGAAAAGCCTGAAGCTTGGGATAGTGCCGTCTCCACCTCAGGAGCAGAGCGCAACTTTAAAAAGTCTAGAAATAGGCTAGAAAAATGAGGGGAAAAGAAACAAAACCTGACCGTAGAAAGTTGTCATTTTGTGAAGCAAAACATTTTTGAGGAGGGACAGAGTAAAAGGAGAGAGAGATAAAATGGGAAAAAATAGGATGGAGGGCAATGCATAGTAATCCTAACTGAAAAAATTTTTCCAGCAAGTTTCTCTGATTTCTCAAATATATAGAGAGCTCTATTTCTCAAATATATAGAGAACTGAATCATATTTGTAAGAATACAGGTCATTCCTCAACTGATAAATGGTTGAAGATATGAATGGGTAATTTTCAGACAAAAAAAATCAGTGTCTATAGTCATATGAAAAAATGCTCTAAATCAATATTGATTAGATAAATGCAAATTTTAAAAACCCTAAGGTACCACTTCACACATGTCAGATTGGCTAATATTGATAGAAAAGGAAAATGACAAATTTTGGAGGGAATGTGGGAAAATTAAGACACTAATGCACCCGCCATTGGTGGAGTTGTAAACTGATGCAACCATTCTGGAGAGCAATTTGGGAACTATGCCCAAAGAGCTATAAAACCATGCATATCTTTGACCCAATGATACTTCTACTAGGTATATATCCCAAAAAACAAATATTTATAGCAGCTCTTTTTGTGATGGCAAAGAATTGGAAATTGAGGAGATGCCCATCAGTTGGGGAATGGCTGAATGAATTTATAAGGTTTTGATGGAATGCCATTGTACTATAAGAAATGAAGAGCAGGATACCTTGAGAGAAATCTGGAGGAACTTACATGAACTGATGCAAAGTGAGGAGAGCAGAACCAGGAGAACATTATACATAGTGATATCAGTATTATATGATGATCAGCTGTGAATGACCTAACTGTTCTCAGGAACACAGTGATCCAAGACAATTCTGAAAGACCTGGGATGAAAAATGCTGTCTACCTCCGGAGAAAGAACTGATGGAATCTAAATGAAGATCTTTTTGGGGGGAAGGAGGGGGGAGGGTCTGTTTTCCTTCACAACATGACTAATATGAAAATATGTATGTTTTTCATTACTGCATATGTATAACATATCAAATTTCTTGCCTTCAAAATGAGGGGGAAGTGTTGAGAGGGAGAGCATTTGGAACTCAGAATTTTAAAAAAAGAATGTTAAAATTATTTTTACTTGTAATTGGAAAAATATTTAAATAAAAAAGATGGATGACCATCTTTAAGAAATATCATAGAAGCAATTTTTGTACTAATATGGAGATAGTCTTGGATAGCTATTACGTAGTTCCTTCTACCTCTGAGATGCTGTGACTTTATTTTGAAAGGCATAAGGGAATTCTGAACTTAAAGGGTACGTAGACTCACAGATAATCCCTAAAAGACTAAGTCTAATGTCTTTTTCTCTGTTTACCTCTTCTTGGATATCTCTCTTAGACTTTGGTGACAGTGCTCTCTCCTGGTTCCCCTCCTTCTGCCCAAACATTGCTTATTAGTTTCTCTTGTTGGTTCTTCATTTGTGGCTTTCCTACTAACCATAGCTCTAGTCCTCAAGGCCTCTGTTCTGAGGCCTAGGTTTTTCTTCTCTATCTCATTTAGTGATATCATCAGCTCCTGTGGGTTCAGTTATCATCTCTGCAGAAGAATCCCAGATCTGTATCCATAATCTTTCTCCCAATCTCTGATCGTTCATCATCAACTGATTCTTGGGCATCTCAAACTTAACATGCCAAAACAAAAGTCATAATTTTTCCCCAGAAACTTCCTGAACTTCCCTATTGTTGTTAAGAACCACCATTCTATCAATTATACTACTTGAAACCTCTCAGTATCATATTTGACTTATACCACATATCCATTCCATTGTCAAATCTTGTTGCTATCTTCACAACATCTCTTGAATATATACTGTTCTTTCCACTCATGCAAGCCACAGGCCTACTTCAAGTCCTCCTCCCTTCTCACCTGGGCTATTACAATAGCCTTCTAGCTACTGTTTCAAGTGTCTCTCTTTCTAGCTTCCAAGGTGATTTTTCTAAAGAGTAGGTCTGAGTATGTCACCCCTCTGCTTAATGAGCTCTCGTGGCTCCTAATTGTGTCTAGGATCAAATATAAAGTCCTGTGTTTGGCATTTGTAGCTCTTCATAACCCAGTCTTTTTGTACCTTTCCATCCTTATACCTTAATGTCTTCCATGTGTTCTGTGTTCCAGCCATACTGACCTGTTTGCAGTTCTTTGAACATGACACTTCATCTCATATTTCTGTGCCTTTGGCAAGACTAGCAGATCCCCAAACTTGGAATACTTTGCCCCTTATTAATTATTTTCCCTAGCTTCCTTCACAACTCAGCTTAAATCTCCCCTTCTGCAAGAGGACTTTCCTGGGCCCTGCAGCTGCCAATGCCTTGCATTGCAGATTACCTTCACTACTCTGTATATACAGTACAGGATGTCCCAAAAATCTGAGTGCAGTTTTAATCTATTAAAGCTTAAATATGTAAATATTAGCTATATAATAGCTTAAAATTGCTGACTTTTGGGACACCCTGCCTATTGTATATACCTAGTTATTTACATGTTGTCTTCTCCATTAGAATGTATGCTCCTTGAAGGCAGGGACTAGTTTTTACTGTGTGTCTTGAGCAGTTATCACAGTGACTGGCACATAGTAAGCTGTTAATAAATGCTTGTTAACTGACTACCAGAAAGATATTTTAAAAGATAATTTTTGTTTAGATTTGTTTTCTAACCAGTGTAGTTGTTCATATTCATCTCCCGGTACTTACACTTCTGCAGTAGGCACTCAGATATTGTTGTTTCTAAAATTCATAAATATTTTGTGAACAACCCAGATAGTTCCTCAGTAAGAGCTATTAAGAATATTTTATGTTAAGGCTAATATAAATCATAACTCATGTGTATAAAGAGTTTATATATAATAATTATAACTCACATTAATAATAAACTACTCTCTTCCAAATAACCCTATGATGTAGGCTAACTGATATTATATATGCTACCTTAAGGTTTGCAAATACTTTTACATATTTTATCTCATTTATTCATCGTCACAGCAATCCTGTGACACAGGTGCTTCGGTTATTGTTATCTTCATTTTGCAAATAAGGAACCTGAGACTCGGAGAGGCTGAGTGACTTGCCAGGGTCACACAGCTAATAAATGTCTGACATGGGACTGGAATCCAGGTTTTCCTGACTCCAAGTTAAGCATCTAAAATCTTTTTTTTACAACTCTATGTTGTATGTAGTATAAATATTATACCCATTTTTGTAGATGAGGAAACTGAAGCTCAAGAAAGCTCAGTGAATTTTCCAGGGTTATACTGGTAGGGAGTGGGAGAAGCAGGGTGAGAATCCAATTATTCTCACTCTGAGTTCCCCTACAGCAAACAGTATGAAGTAGCGATAGATGTAAGAATAGATAATGCAAAACAAAATATTTTTGTGTTTATGAAGGTGATTGAGACAAATAATGTTTTCATTCATTTGAGTAGTTCAGATAATTGCCTTAATTCTCCCATTTGCTTGTGTAAGTAAATAAAGCCTCTAATTCAGATATTGACAAACCCCCAAATCTTTGATTAGCTTCCTGATGACTGCATTATAGTAACAAAATAATTTTTTATACATCCAGAGGCTCCTGTTGAACAAATAACCCTAGTTTCTTAATTCAAAACTTCTTGAGGCCAGGGATTCTGTCTTATTTATCTTTATTTCTCCAAAGAGCTTTAAAATTAGTCCCTGTTGTAGATACTCAGTAATGTTTAAATTTAATTGAAAAGGTATTATTTACTAAAGTACACACCAAAGTAATTATCTGTCATTCAGTAGTGATCAAGAAGTAAAAAGTTAATGTAAATGTTCCCTCAAAAAAAGCTTAACTTATTTCAAGGGGAGTAGTTTTGTGTATTATTTAAATCTAGCTTTTAGTTATAGTCTGGTAACAAGTTGTTGGCCTCCCTTCAAGGCTCACTTCCTAGCTCTAACTGATGCCTTGATACAGACTCATCCTTTCAGCTTCTCTATTTCTTTCTATACAAATTATGATAAAGAATTTTATAAAATAAGTTAGAAATATGAGAGACAGCACTTTGAGCTTTTAGGGAGAAAGGTCTTCTATATGTGCATAGTAGCAGTATAAAAAATGTTTTTTTTTTTTTGGTACAGAATATTCTTTTTAAGGGAATTTTTCTCTCTATCTTCCCACTGCCCTTCCATCAGAAAAAAACTCTTTTAATGGGTAGAAAGTTCAGAATTTTAATTTTTCTCTCTCAGGCTAAGTACTTGACAATTTCACAAACTTTTATTTTATACCATAGTAGTTATTTCCTTCTCTTAGGTTGTAAGCTCCATGAGGGCAGAGACTGTTTCAGAGTTAGTGTTCATATTTCTCCCAGCACCCAGCTCAGTTCTTTTCACGTAATAAGTATTTAATAAATGTTTCTTGAAGTTGCAATGCACTTGTTTCTAAGCCAAATTAGAAAGTGATTTTGACTGTTGCAGAGAGAAAAAGGACTTGGAACTATTTCCAGTTTTGTCCATAATTAGTTTTGTTACCTGAGGAAGACCATACTTAACATGTCTAAAAAGTTTCCATTATTTCTTTGTCTTAACTGTGGGTGAATTAGGTCTATCAGTTACCTTTGATGGAAAAAGAGAAGATTATTTCCCTGATCTAATAAAATGGGCTGCTGCAAATGGAGCTTCCACCGATGGTTTTGAACTGGTTAACTTCAAAGAAGAGGGCTTTGGTTTGAGAGCAACAAGAGAGATCAAGGTGAGCTTAGAAATTGATATGAATATACCAGAAATATGAAAGTTACTGTAAAATTCCTTTTCTTTCAAAGTTACTTGCAAAATGATGGAGAAAATGTTAGTTGCAATAATATCTGTTATGATTATACCAGAAATAGGAAAATTAGTTTACAATTCTCCCTTTTGCAGTGTTACTTGTAAAATTATGATGAAAACTCCAGTTGCAATAACATCAGGAATAAGATGGGTTTCAAGTTAACTTTTTTAATGAGGAAAAATTATTTTTTTATTGAAGAATTTCAGATGTTAGGTTTTTGTTCAAAATATTAATTCCATCAGGTTCTTTGCTTTTTTCCTATTTTAACAGTACTAACCTTCCAGTGTGTGCAGCTGAGGTCATTACCATTAACAAATATATATTGAGAGACTGCACAAACACTATAACATAGTACCTTGCACATAGTAAATACTTAAACTGTATTTTAATTAATTCATCAATACAAGGTAAGATTTTTAGGATGTCTGAGAAAAAAGAGGAATATCAGATGAGGCATTGGTCTAGTTTAGAGGTGTGTAAATTTTTTTCAATAGTGGACAACATGATAAGAATAGTTAACTTCATTAATTAACCAGTTGAAGTTATGGGTGGGATGAAAGTATTTTCAGCTCCAATAACAATTCTTTATTGATATCATCCTACTTTTATAACATCTGGTTTCAGTCAGTACTGTAGTTATAGTAGTAATAGGCCAGTGAGTAGGCCTTATGAACCTGCCAAATTATATGCCTTAGCTAATTAGCTAAAGAATTGTTTTTGCTAAAAGTCTCAGATGGACCATATTGAACTTGTTAGGTACATGTTGGTTGCCTGGGATCTAGTTGCACATATAGCTGTGCATCCACTCCATAGATACTCAACAGAAACTTAAGTATACCACATTAAGGCCTGTGAAAGGTAGGTGGAAGGTAGGTGTTAGATAACACATGATTCCTGTCCTCAGAGTTTATATGAGCTAGCTAGGGAGAAAAAACACATAAATAAAAGTTAAATAATACAAGGCAACTGTGTAAGATATAAGATAGTATGTGTTTAAGTATCATATGAATAGTACATTATCATTAAGTAGTGTTTTAAATGTTGTGCCTTAGGCCAGTTCCTAATCATAAAAGATAGTCTTTTCCTTCACTGAACTTATGTTTTAAACCATGCAGTTATATGTGTTTAAAGGCATACTGAGAATCAGTATATGAGTGTCTTAAGGCAAAGGAACAAAGTAAGATAAGGAGGAGTAATAGTAGTTTACATTTATTGTAGCCTTTACTAATTATTAATAGTTTCTAGTTATAAAGTATATTATGTACATTAATTTATTTGAATCTCACAATTACCCTGTAATTGTGTAGATAGTAGGAATTATTTCCACTTTATAGGTGAGGAAACAAGTACAGAGAAATTTGTTGACTTTCCCCAGATTTCCTCAAACTGGACTGTAATGTCAATGAAAACAGGCGATCTGGAGCCTACCTTTATATCTTCTGTGCCTAGCATAGTGCTTTGCACCTAGAAAGTACTTAATATTTTAGCTGAATTAAAAGTGATTTTGTTTTACTGTTACTCGATATTTTGAACACGTTTGTGTGTCTACATGCGTACATATATGCACATGTGTATACTATATGCATTTAACAGATATATACACATCTATGTACATCCTCTTATGTCCATATATATGTGTGTATGGATATGTGTGTATATATGCATATACACATATACGTGTGTGTGTGTGTGTGTGTGTGTGTGTGTGTGTGTGTGTGTGAGAGAGAGAGAGAGACAGAGAGAGAGAGAAAGCCTTTTGCTTCCCCTGGATACATGATTTTTAAGTCAGTACTGGGATAGGAGGATATACTGCTGATCACTTAAAATTGTATATGTGTGCTGAGATTTAGTTCTGGGCACTGTTATGAAGTATGGACATATATATGACTTACAGCTAAGATTGAATTGTATACTATAAAATTATTTGTGATAATCGGCTTAATTTTCTAATTTCTTTCCTAGGCAGAAGAATTATTTTTATGGGTTCCACGAAAATTGTTAATGACTGTTGAATCTGCTAAAAATTCAGTATTGGGTGAGAACCATTTTGGATTGTTTGAATGCAGTGTAGAAAACTACCTATGATGGAATATTAAATAGTTTGTGTGAGTGTGTCTATGGGTCATGCTAATTTATTATTACTAAAGGATAAAATATTCTTTAAATCCATAATAATGTTCTCTGTAGAAGTTTTACCAGTAGTGTTAGGGAGGGATAGCTTGGGGCAGTGCATATGAGAGCCTTGAAGTTAAAGCAACCTAGGTTCCTGCCTGATATATACTAGCTGTGTGACCAGAAGCAAATCACTTAACCCCTCAGTGCTCTGGACTAGCCTCTAAGTGGCAGATGAGTTAAAGATCTACATAGGTGGGGAGAATTTTCTTGCCCAGAGTTCCCTATATAAATGAAAATACAGTATTTGCAACAATAGAAGAAAAAAAGTGTTGTGTCAAAAGAAATATTCAGTTTATCTTATGTTTTCCAATACTTTTTAGTTAATGAACATTCTAGTTGGAACCATTCAATCCTATTGAATTCACATACATTTTACTAAAAGTTTTTTTTAGAAATGCATTCAATTGATAACTGTTAACATCTGGGTTAATTCAGGGGCCTTGTATTCTCAAGATCGTATCCTTCAAGCTATGGGAAACATCACGCTGGCATTTCATCTTCTGTGTGAACGAGCAAATCCTAGCTCTTTCTGGCTGCCATACATACAGACCCTGCCCAGTGAATATGATACCCCTCTCTATTTTGAAGAAGATGAAGTTCAGCATCTTCAGTCAACACAGGCTATACACGATGTCTTCAGTCAGTATAAAAATACAGCTCGACAATATGCTTATTTCTATAAAGTTATTCAGGTGAGTCATTGATCAAAAAAGTGGGTGAATGAAAGAAGTTAGTGGTATAAAGAGGAATCTTTTAAGGAAGTTAAAAATTAACTTCATATTTTATTTAAAGAAGCTTAAAAAGGATAGTCATTTGTTACATTTATTTCATAAGCATCATAAAATATTCCCTTAAAAGGAATATTATAGCTTATCAGTAGTCACTGTAAACAGGTAACATTTAATGTCATGGCATTTTTTGCTAAAAAAACCCCAAAAATCATCAATAAATTCTGCATTACTTTTTTGAAAGCACAAACACAAAAAAAGGTTTTCTCTTGTTTTTCAGGGTTGTGGAAAGGCTTTGGTTTTCATTTGAGAATTTTTGTTAAATGTCATTGGTGAAATTTGGCATTTAATTTAATAAATCATAACATTTTATTGTAACCAAATTAAATAATTATATAATGAGATAAACATTTTTTATTTTATTTTAAGTAGAATTTTACTGTATGAAAGATATAAGAGAATTAATTAAAGGATTAGGAACATTTGAGTTAGAACTGACTATTCTCTGTGTTTCACTCATCTGCTCCATAGTTATCTTAATCTGGCAGTTGAAAAAAAACAAGATCATTGTTCCTTCATGAGTTAAGAAAAAAGAGAAAAGAAAAGCCTTCTCTGCCTTCTCTTTCTTCCCTTCCTAAAGCTCTCAAAAGGCAGCTCTTAGGTTTTTATGCCAATTTGGCTTCAACCTATCTTCTCAGCTTTATTTTTCTAATGGACTCCAGCCGAACTGGTGTTTGAATTTCACATGTCAACCTATGTCTCTGTGTATTTGTAAAAGCTATCCCACATGACTAGAATGGGTTCTCTTCTTATCTCCATTTCTCAGATTCTTTATCTTCCTTCAGGATACTGTAATGATGCCACTTCTTCTGGGAAGACTTCCCCACCATCATCTTGTTAATTTTCTCTAGTTTTCTGTTCATTTTCACATTGCCTCATATTTGTTTATCTGTTGGGCTGTCATTTGAGCCAGATCTTTTTCATATGCCTACTTTCTGTCCCTGATATTTACTGGCAGATGACTTAATATTACTTGTAATTTTTCAGATTCTTCCTTAGTGTTCATTAATTATTACTTTTACCTTAAGTCACATTTGAACATTCCATGTATTTACCACAAATATATCAAGAGCTGTTTTTCTTCTCTCTTTCTGTTCCATCCATATGGCTTGTGTATTACCTGATAAAAATTGATAACTGATATAGCTTTTTTTAGGGCAAAACATTCAGATCAAAAACATAATATATTTAACTGTTAAATTTGAAACTTTAGTAATTCAGGAGAAAACCTGCTAGCTTTTTTTTTTAGACTTATCAGTTTGACTTTTTAAAACACCAAAAGAAGCAAATAAAAATATATGGATTCTATACTTATATATAGTTCTAAAATCACTTATTTTAAACTTTGGTTTTAATAGTAATTACAAATGCTAAAATCAGACTTTTAAAAGTTTTATTTAAGTTTAAGTTTTCAATTGTGTACATTTTGATGACTAAGCAGTATCTACTTATAGCAGCTTTAAGGCTTTCTAAACTCTCTAGTACAACAAATGGAATAACATTTCTTTTCAGTAATCTCTAACAGAGGTATTGCCAAAACATGATAACTTTCACTGGGAGAAATCAGTTCCATTTTCAGATTACAGATACTGAAACAATGACAAATAGATTGAAGATCTAGTTAGTGCTTTACTTCTGACATGTCACTTTCATTTGCAAAATTGCTTATTGCATTTTTTTTAGTTAAAAGTTAAAATTTCCTGCAAAGTCCTAGAAAATTTTATATCAGTAATTCAACAAGAAGTTATTAAGTGCCTACTCTGTGTTCTGTGCTAGGGATATAAATAGAAAACCGTGCTATAATGATGTTATCATAGTCTGTGCCATGATAATAACTAGCATTTATATAGGCTTTAAGGTTTTCAAAGCCCTTTACAGACACTTCATTTTATCCTCACTACAACCATAGGAAGTAGGTACTATTATCATCCTCAGTTTACTGATAAAAATCTGAAGCAGTTAGAAATTAAGTGACTTGCCCAGGGTCATGCAGCAAATAAGTATCTGAGGTTGCATTTAAATCCAAGTTTTCCTAACTCTGGGTCCTTTTCCATAAGAGTGCCTTAAAAGCAGAACCCTGGTTACCCTTGTAATAATGACCTTTTAGTACTTGAGGTGATTTAGAGTTCAAGATGAACTCACCTTACATCAAATATAAGTAGCAGTATAATGTATTTCTAGTTGCTTTCTACCGTACAGGTATTTGCATACCTCATGAACTTGTTCTAAAATATAACTTTTATTATGACTTTCATATCATGGGAGTTTTGGGAAATATACTCTCTAACCCCATCCCACTTGGAAATTGAACTCTCCCATGTAACAACAACAACAATAACAACAACAACAAAATAATTAATCTGATAAAGAAATTGCTTGTTTACAACATTCTATCCTAATAGTCCCCACCTCAGTGCTGAAAAGGAGGAAGGTATATTTCCTTAAATCTTCTCTAGAACCATTATTAGTCTTTAGAATTATTCAGTGTTCAGATTGCTTTTAGTAATTTTTTTTCATTTATATTGCTATTATGGTCATTGTATATATTGCTCCATACCTTACAGATTTGAAATAAGTCTTCTCTAAATCTCAGTTGTCTGCAAGAATAGTAGAAATTCCTTCACAGAAATTAAAAAGATTTGAAAAACATTTTGCCTCAGTTATTTTTATTTTTTGGACAAATAACCATTCCTATATTACTAATTATTATCTTTCTATAAAAATCTCAAGTTCTCATCTTTTGTTACTCCTTTCAAGTGTTTTACTTAGATAATATGAATGAGCAAATATCTGAAATCACCATTAAACAAACAGAAACGGGTGATACCTACTGTAGCAAAAAGTCTACTATTTCATTTCAGACATTACCGTGATTGTCGTAGATGGGTTTGGTGACCATGTAAGCTGGTTTATTAATGACCTTTTTTTACTTGTAGCACAGTACAAACTAGTTAAGCTGAAAGTGCTATTGTTTAGAAGCTTACAATGTAAGATCTGATGTCAACACAGTTGTCATAAAGAATATATAGGCAGATGAAGAAACCCCAAGAGGATTAAATACAGTTTTATGATGGTGAGTGAAGAGAAAACCGCATATTTAGAGTGTGGTGCAGAGAAATGTCCACATCTCCAAATTAGCCAGGGAAGATTTCAGAGGGAAGGAGAATGTGAATACTGACTAGGAGAGAATTAGGCCAGTTGTGAATGAGGTTTAAAGAGAGAAGGTCAGAAGTTATAATGAGATCTATTAGAATTCCTTAAGTGAATATTCCCCAAAGGGGCAAATTGGAACACAGTCAAAAATCTTGATTTTTACATTTTTTCTAGTTTAAAATACTTCCCAGTTGGCTTATTTTTTGGTTAGTCCATATTGTTTTAAATGCTCTCCCCTGACTTGTGTTTTATAATTTTCACTGCTTGATTTAACAAAGTATAGTTCTCATCTTACAAAGAAAATATAATCAGCTAACATTAGCAAAGAAGTCACAAGTTAAATAAACTAAAGTGACTTTTTGCAGCAACTTTTCTTTGACTAATATTTTAAGAAAGTGTCTGTCATGGTATGGACCAGAGGGGACCTCAAAGTAGAGGTACTATAATTATTGCTTGGAAAGTACAGATTAGATGACAGATTATGAGTGTTAAAATAGATTTGTCACATGTTCATTTTAAATATAGAAGGCAAATTGATGAGGATCTTTTTTTTTTAAACAATAGGTTGGTCAAAGTGAATTCAGAAAGAATCGGCAATGTTAACTATATTTTGGTACTCAGGTGTCCCAAATCATATTCTTCTAATGTCAGCATCCAGCAATCTCTTCCATAGTGAGCCATTTGACTTCTTAGACATCACTGAGATCTGATGGAATGGGACTTGTGCTTGGACTATGATTCTAGAACAGTATACCATTTTTAAAAGGAACATATTTGGTAGGGATGGGGATTGTAGTGTAGTAGCCTTATATATATATTAACAAGACACTTTGGTGAGGAAATCCATTCTCTGAGTAGGGGAAACATAGTATATTGCACTTGGATGAGAATCCATAAGAGGAGGAAAAGAAAAGCAGTGTTTTCTGGGGAATAAAAGAGGAGTAATATTCAGACCACCTAGAAAGGAGAAATTATCTATGGAATTTGGAAATCAGATCATAAACTTGGCATGGATACGTTATATTGAAGCTATCTAGACATCTGTTGAAATTCTCTTTTGTTTGCTCATACCGTCATTCTCCCTTTTCTCCATCCCTTTCCCTTTCCTTCTTAAAAGCAGAGCAACTGATGCATTTGTGACTTGCTGTAATGATAATCTTATCCCTCAAAAGGTAAAGGAAGTAACAAGGGGAACTGCAATTTTGGACCGGATTCTGATTTACAAGGAGGAACTGGTTGCTGAAGTAGAAATTACAGAAACTTTGGCGGCAAGGGCAAGTGACCAATTTCCTCAGAGTTCATGATAGAAGAGAGGAAGGCTGGGCATGATCTGTCTTGACATGCACCCTAGATTTTGGGGAGAGCAGATATCAGACAATACAAGGAAAGTATAGGTGGAATCCAAATGCCTAATATTTTTAGAGGAAAGCCCTCATAAGATAAGAGACTCTCAAGAATGAAATTCTGAAGACTCAAGAAGTGGATTCCGTTCAAAGGAAAGTCAGTGCTACCTAAAGAGACTAATGAGTATGCACAAGAAACTCACTGATCAACTGAGATTTTTAAAGACATGTGTAGAAGATGGAAGCAAGAGGAGGTAACAGGACGAATACAGAAAAGTACTACAGTCATGTAAGAATAGTGTCAGCAGTACTAAAGCTCCAAATGAGCTGCACCTGGCAATAAGTGCTTAGGACATGATTTTTTTGTTTGTGATGGTTCAGGCGAAAGGAAGATTGAAAGAAATGATA